AGTTCCTGCTTACCTTGGTAAAAATAATAATTTAAATAATATTTATTTCAATAAAAATTCTCATATTATTTCATTGACTTTTATGAACTAGATTATAGAATGGGCAGGGAACCTATGATTCTAGGTTTTCTCCAGGAAAAAGGTCAAGATAGTTTGCTAATTAGCTCAAAGTCATATAATGAACTGATGATTAAGTCTGGTGACTTTTCCATGAGATAATGGTACTTCTCCTAAATTTTTTTGTTCAAATCACAATTTGAGTCTTTGAAAGATGCACTACTGATTCAGATTAAAGAGATATAATCAATGTGAAAGCTATATTTTAGATCAAAAATCTGTAAGACAGAGAGAGCTATAGTAGCTCCTAGGTGGGGTCACCCCACTACACACACACACACACACACACACACACACTCAAGGACATCTGGCACTGCCTGGGTGATTTTGACTGACAGCTCAGGAGTGGGGTTTGTGGAGGAGGAAGAGGTGGATGCTATTCTCATCTGCTAGGTAAAGGCTTGTGAGCCACAGAGTCACAGGACAGATGGGCAGCCAGCTGAAAATGTCAACAGTGTGAAGGTGGAAAAACCTACACGGTGTTTCCCTATTCATTTTAAACCAGGGCTTGGGCCCCTGTGAACAATGGGGTGAGGTATGTGGAACGTCAGATATGCCCAGGCCCCTCGCCACTTCCTGTTACCTTCTCAGCCTCCCCCTCCAGCACAGCCCCACCCCCACACAAGCGCGAGCGGGGCACCTTGTGCTGCTTCGTGCTGGGCTTTCTATTCGTTGGTCCTTTTGTTTCTTATGAGATGGCCCTTTGTTCAGAATGCTCTGATTCACTACTTTGTTTATCTGTAGAAATTTATGTGAAAGTAGCAAATATCCCTACATTTTAAACTTACCAGAAGTACCTCAAGTCTGGTACCAAGAAATAGCAGATCTTCACCCTGCGCCTTTCTGTCTTTCTGCTTCCCCAGAGGCAACGGCGTTTGGCTTTCTGGCATCCACCTGTGCGCTGTTGAACAACTTGCTTGTAGCACTACTTGTTGCCTTGTTGCCTTGCGGTCTTACCTGCCGAGTTCCTCTTCTCTCAGAGCTCCAGTGTAGTTAGCCATAGGGCTAATGCCCAAAACATTTCAAATCCAGCACAGACCTGGTTAATCACTTCTGGTCTTCCTGGATGATACATGTGGGGTGATTACCGGCCCTACTTAGGACAATTTTTATTCAGTTATCAATATTGACATTCTTAGAACAGGATAAATATCATCCACTGCTGAAACAAATAATACCCCATGATTATCTTGCTTGCACAGTATTTGTTTTCTGAAAGTTATTAATGGACTCTTTAAAAAATCATTTATTCCTCATTCAAAATTCGTCAACACCCCAGAGAAGTCTTTGCCACTGGGAGGAGATGATTTCTACCCCTCTGTGTTATCCCTGCCGGGCCGTAGAGATCTGTATGTCTGTCTCCCTTGAGGTTCTTGAGGTCAGGGATTCTGCCCTTATCTCTAAACCCATGGGCTCTTGCACAAGTGCTGACCACGGCTTAGTACAGGTGGCTGAGCTCTGGATGGAGGAGCCCTGCAGTAGCCTTTAGCTTCTGGCAGATGGCTTTGAGAGTATTTCTCTGGATTCTGAGTTTCTCTCACAGACCACAAACTCAAATGCCTGCATCTGGCAGTTGAGGAACAGGAGTGGCGCACACATCAGTGTCCCTGGCACTCGGAGGAGTCGCCTGCTTCTTCCTCCAGCCAGTTGTCAAGAGAAAAGACTTTGGTGCCAGGCTGCACAGAAGCAAATATTCAGGTTTCATGTGATCTGCCTGGATTCCATTTTTTAAAAACTGTTCAGGCCAAGAAAAGAATTCTCCAAGGTAGGTCTGGCCATGGTTGTGGGTTTAGGAGGTGGAGACTGTTGGGGAGGTGCAGCGTGGGGTGCCCAGTACCCTGTTTGCCTGGGTGCTGACTTGATGGAGGTCGCCTCTCCTGGGCCTCTGCCCCGCCTCTGGGGACAGTGGCTTTGTTTTGCCGGTGAACATTAGTGCGTGGAGTGAGCTTAGCAGCAGGAGGCTGGGCCGGGTTCCATGGAATAGGGCTCCCTTTGTTAGGGGAAGGGGAAAATAATGGGTTAGTCTTGTAAGTGACAAGAGGTACGAGTGCAGCTAGACTAATGCTGTTCCTTGTGTGCTAACCATGGGCCTTTGCTTATAAATCTTAAGTTCTATGATAACCTTGAGATCTTGCCATTCCCAATCTCTGGATGTTGAGCCTTTGAGACTTAGGGGTTCCTTCCTTCCTTCCTTCCTTTCTTCCTTCCTTCCTTCTTTCCTTCCTTCCTTCCACCCTTCCTTCCTTTCTTCCTTCCTTCTTTTCTTCCTTCCCTCCCTCCTTCCCTCTTTCCTCCCTTCCTCCCTTTCTCCCTTCCAGCTTTCCTGCCTTCCCTCTTCCATTCCTCCCTCCTTCCTTTCCTTCCTTTCTTTCCTTCTGTACCTCTCTCCTTTTCCCCCTTTCTTTCTCACTGTTACAGCAAGCTTTTATTTCTAGAATTGAAGCCTCTTGTTTTTTTTTTTTTTTTGGTTTTTCTCCGGTACCGGGAACTGAACTCACGACCTTGCGCTTGCCAGGCAGGCGCTTTTGCCGCTGAGCTAAATCCCCAGCCCCCTGAAGCCTCTTGTTTTGCTTTATGAAGAATGCTTCTGTATGTGATTTTAGAAATGAGTCAAATATGCTCTTTTATTTTCCACTAGAAATTGCTAGTGGGATGGTTGAATTTAAAGACTGTTTTCTTCTTTGATTGGTTTGATTTTTGTCCATTATGTTCTATGTTAGGTACCAGGATTACAAATATGAGTAATATAAAATTTCTATGCTTGAGAAACCCAAAATGATTGCTTACTTTCATTTGTTCTAAGTATGAAGGGAGAGATAAGTGTTAGAATAAAGGTTGAAATAATCAATAAATTTGGTGGCCAAGTTGTGATTACAAAAAAATGTATATGAATTACTCATTTTTCTCTTATTGCAACATACAAAATATACAAAATGTTAGAAAAATTATAAAGTACAAAAGAGAAAAAATTTAGGGAAATGTCTCCTAACCAATGTGTGAAACTATTTACTCACTGAGCAATTTTTTATACTTCACACACATATACAAATACACTTACAGACAGATCATAGTAAATTACTATCGAACAGTCTATTTTCTTAGTTAGACATGTGTAGAACTGTCCCTTTAATGTCTGGGCATAAGTTTTTCAGCTGAATGGCATTTTTGGAACCCTACCTTCTTCTGACTAGCATTGCATTGCACCTAGAAAAATCATATGCATTTAATCAAATCCCTATCATTAGATGTTCAGGTAATTTTCAGTTTTTTATAACTTCTGCCACACAAGGAGATTCTGTAGCCAAATCTTCTTACAGATCCTGATTTACTTCCTTAGGGAAACTTGCTGGCAATGTAGTTACTGGATTTAAGCATGTGTCCATTTTTTGAGCTGTTTTTGTTTTTATGTTCTGTGTAGTGCTAACTTGTCCTTCAGAAAAACAACACAGGATTACTGTCTCCAGTGGCTTGGAGTTTTGGTTCACCTCTATTTCCAGTACTTGGTACCATTTCTTCCTAAGAATCTCGTCCAGTTTGACAGATGGAATAGCATATTTACAAAGACCCTTCTTGAAAACTCTCGGATTGGTGGCCACTGTTCTTTGCGTTTGCAGAACTCTCACTGTAGGTCGGGGCTGACTGTGGGTTGATAATGGCCTTGGTGGGCGTGGAGGATCTGAGGGTTTTACCCGGGTGCTCCTGGGTGCCCATGGGTACTTGGTGAATCAGAGAACTAGTATTGTTAAGAGACCCTGGCCCAGGTGTATATTTTCTAACACAGCCACTGAAAGGTTATGTTCTTCTCGCCACTTCATAACAGTGATTTTACTGAGCCCTGCATATTGAACCCACACTCAACATATTTAACTCTGACAAAAATAGGTCTTGTGCTCAGCGTGAGCTGGTTCTAAGCCGTCTTTCTTTTCTTCCCTTCCTCTCATCCTTCTTTTCCTCCCCTCCCCTACTGTCATGGTAGACGTCTGCAGTATTTCCTAACCAGAGCAGGCAGTGTCACAAACCTCCACACATCAACGTTCAGCTTCATCCGTCACCAACAGGCAACCTGGCTCTCGCACGCCTGTGCCTCATGACCTAGAATCCCCATTCCCTTGTTGGATTATTTTAAAGCAAATCTCAGATATGTTATTTTCTTAGTAACTGTTTAAACATATGTCTCTAAGTGACTTGGACTCTGTTTTCCAATGTAAATTACAATAGCATGATTATACTGCAAAATGTTTATAACAGTTCTTTATTATCGTCTGATGCCCAGTGAGTGTCAAATTTCCTCGATGATCTCACAGATGACTTTGCCCACTGGGTTTGTGTGGGTTTGGTTTGTTGTGTTCTGAGCATTTTAACCACACACAGGATTCTTCCTCCCTTGGAAGTCAGAAGGACTATCCATATCTCTTGAGTCAGACTCTTAGCTGGGGGAACCTCACTTTAAAGCTTCCCATGGGTTGAATATGTATTCATACCTCCCCAGAAGGAAGGACATTCCATAGTTAGCACCCAAGAAGCCTGGGTCTGTGTGGGACAGAGGAGCTGCGTTGAGCTGTGAGCTCATCATTCATTATCTTTGGAAACAGGCTAGGTTCCCTCCACCCCTCTCTCTGCTTGTGGGATGCGACCCTATTATTACATGCTGCGGCTGGGTCTCCTGCCTTAGGATGCAGAGTCAGATGCAAGTGGTGTTGGCTTGAAAACTCTGTTTTCAGCACTGCTCTGAGGGCCTGAGAAGTGCCTTGGGAGACTGACTGGGAAATGGAAGTGACAGGTATGCTATTTTTACACATGGGTAGCGACTTTGAGAGGGTATTTCACACTAAGCACAAGTTCAAGTTCTCATGTTTGTTTTTGGCTCTTCTTTGAACTTGAAGGTCTAATGCTCCTTCACTGTGTGCTGGCAGATGGGAATTCAACCAGAAGCCCTGCGACTCTCGACCTTCTCTGTGGAGATCCTGTGGAAAACTGCACAGGTAATGCTTATGCTTCGAGTTCAGTCTGGAAAGTTGATCTTCTTGAGTTTGAATCTTTTAGTGATGGTATTAATGGTACTCGGCCATTCTCTGCACACACACTAACATACTAAGTACTTTGCTAAGTGCTTTAGATTCATTGATTCATTCAGTGACCGTAGCAGTCCTGTGAGTGAGACAGCTTTCTAAAACAATTTTACTTCCAGGCAAAGCTTAGAAAGTTTAAGTAACTTGCCCAAGGTCTTCCAGCTGGCAAATAGCAAATCTGAGATTTCAAGGCAGTCTCTGGTTCTTAGTCACAATGCTGGGTGTTACAGAAGATGTGTGCCTCAGATTCTAGCTGGGGTACCCTCAGCTGTGGTCTTAGAAAGTTGATGAATTCTGTTCAAATTTAGATTCTTCAATCTCTCTTTCAGTTCTGTACTTTAATAAAGGGAAGAAGGCAAGGGATTTTTTTTTTAAATGTATTTTGCCTTGGAGATGCTCGCATTAATGTTCTCAGAGTTCCTAATCTGCTGGAGTCGGATGGTGTTTCAGGCTTTGTCGCAGGCCTCAGTCTTGCCACTGACTGTGAAGCAGTCGTCCATCTATGCACACGAGCAGGTGTGGCTGTGTTGCAAGGTAATGTAAGCAGGCTGCAGGCCAGGTCTGCCCGGAGACCATAGCTTGCTGGGCCTGGCCCGCAGTGCTGTGTGTTCTGTGTGTGTTGTGAGATCCGGTCTTCTACAAGGGCTGTTTCTGATTTTAGAAGAAAGCACAGACCAGTTCAAAGAGTCAGGTTGAGTGGAGAAACCTCCTGTGTTCCCCAGAACCCTCTCTGAGCTGGGAGGATGGTGACTCGGTGTGACACGTTCCTTCCTTGCCAGCCGGGGGTGCTGTCACCGAGCCAGGAACACGCTGGGCGAGTCTCCTGGGGTGAGTCATCAGCTCCAGCCTCTTCCTGCTCATCCTCAAAGCTCTGGGTGGGAGGCAGGGTGTGCGGGCTGGGGAATCCACCGGCATCTTAGGTCATCTGTGCCGGCCTGGACTGTCACTGTGGGAGGAGGACACGGCCACCTGTGTGTGATTTCTGTGGACTGGTTTCAAGTATCCAATGAGGGCATTTTTCAGAAATCATTCTGTGATCTGATGGTAGACAATATTAAAAAATCTTCCCCATCATCCTTTTAAATATGTTGCCTAATTTTACTGTAATATTAATAATTTAGCATTAAATCTCCCTTTCTAAACAAATTTGAAGCTTTGTTGTAGGTATGATGCTATGCAGCAGATCTTTGGAATTCATCTATTTGCATAGTTGAATAGCAAGTCTCATTTCTTTCTTCTCTGAGCTCCCCGCAACCAGAATTCTACTATTTGCTTCTGTGAATTGTGCTATTTGACAAACCTGTGTGAGTGGAATCATTTGATATGTGCGGCTGGTTTATTTCACTTAATATCCTCAACTTACTCACTCAAGTCATCATATATTGGAGGGTTTTGTGGTTTTAAGTGGATGAATATGATTTCATTGTATGTGCATCTGGATTTTCTTTATCCATTCATTTATCAGTGGACACTTAGGGTTACATCCACCTTTGACTCTTATGAATAATGCTGCAATGAACAAGAGTAGTATAAATATCTCTCTGCATTTCTGATTTCACTTTTTCATTAATACCCAGCAGTGGGATTTATGGGTCATAGGAGTATGGCAGTTGTGTTTTAAATTTTGTTAGGAAATTTCCATGCTGTTTTCCATAGCAGCTGTACTATTTAACACTGCATCATCAGTTTACAACTGCTCTGGTTTCCCTAGTATCTCTCTCTCTCTCTCCCCATCTCTCCCTTTCCCTCCCACCCCACTCCTCTCCCCACAGTCCTAACAGGTAGGAAGGAAGTGATCTCTAACTGTGGTTTGGTTTTCATTTCTCTGATGATTCATGGTATTGAGCATCTTTTCATATCTATGTTGGCCTTTGTAAGTCTTTTGTGGAGAAATATTGTACAAATTTAGCTATTTATTTGAGTCCTTTTCTTTTCAAAGTAGGTGTTCGTCACTATAAACACTCCTCTTAGTACTCTTTTTGGTACACCTCATGAGTTTTTATATGACATGTAATTGCTTCAAGACATTTTCTAATTTCCCTTTTCATTTTATGTGTGGGCAATTGGTTGCTGAACTTCATCACCTTCCTGTGGCTGGGACTAAATACAAAATACCGACAGCCTGAAGGAGGAAAGGGTTAGTGTGTCTCACAGTTTCAGAGAGGTTAGTCCATGGTTAGATGGCTGCCTGGTGAAAAGACATGGTAGAGGAAAGCTGTTCAATCTATGGCAGCCAGGAAGGAGAGAGAGAAAGAGAGAGAGAGACAGAGACAGAGACAGAGAGACAGAGAGGGAGAGAGACAGAGAGAGAGAAAGAGAGAATGAATATGAATACATCCTCACTCTTCAGAGCATGCCCCAGCTCCTAAACACATGTTTACCTATGATCTCATGAATGGATTAATCCACTGATGAATATAGCACCTCCACAATGCACTCACCTTCTCAATGTCCCACTTCTGAACATGACACTTTTCAGGGATATTTTAGGTATAAACCATAACAGTTGTTCAGGAATTAGAGTACTTGATTTCCACATATTTGGGACTATTCCAGCTTTCTTTCTGCTGTTACTGATTTTTGGTTTCATTTCATGTGATCAGAAAAGATGTTTGGTATGACCTCAGGCTTCAAAAATCCATTAACACTTTTTGGTGTCCTGGCGGATGGTCTATTCTGAGGAATGCTGTGTGTGCACTTGAGAATATGTGGATTCTGCTGCTATCAGATCATGAGTTCTCCATGTGTTCTCTAGGTCTGTTTGGTCTGTGTTGCTGTTGGGGTCCACATTTACCTCACTGGTGTTCTGTCTGGTTGTTCTCCCCATTACTAGACACGGAACGTCAAGGTTTCTTATACTGGAGTGTTACTGTCAGCAGGACAGCTTTCTGCATGGCTTGGACCAACCCAAATTGCTCCCCTTTCTCACTGATCTCTTCCAATGAGAACTGTAGAATGTGCTTGCTTTCATCATAGGAAGAACTGGCCAGAATAGCCTAGGTCTTTTCTCATCCCTGTTAAAACAAGATGTCCCACAGTGCTTTATACTGGTGAGTCTCACTGGTCCATGGGCAGCTTGTTTCCCAGGTCCTTACCTGCAGTGTTATGGGAGACACCAGGTACAACCTCACCTCCCTGTGCAGTGTTTCTGGGCCTCAACCAATGGATTCTCCACCAAAGTCAAGTATTGTCAGTTGTTGCCTATCTGTATGTAGTGGGTTTTTTCTTTTTTTTTTTTTGCACAACTTGTCACATGAGTGCCCTGTCCACTGGACTTGTGTATGTGTAAGTATGTTGATGACTGATGTGTGGTTGGTAGTTGGTGAGCACTATTTCTCATTTCAATTCCAGCCATACTTGTTTTGTATATTTAGGTGTTTTGATGTTGAGTGCATATATATTCATAACTGTTATATCATCTTGGTGAGTTGCAAACTTTATCTTTTTTTATAAGTCTATCTTTGTCATTGGTCTCTAGTGACAGATACTGAATCAAGGCTTATTTTATCTCATACGCACATGGCTGACCCTGATCTCTTGTTTGCCATCTGCATGGAATCTTGTTCATCCTTCACTTTGAGTCTATATATATTCTTATATCTAAAGCAACTCTCTTATGCAAGACATATAGCTGAATCTTGTTATTTGTATCCATTCATGCACTCTATATTTTAGCATTGGGAAGTTAAAACCATTTACATTTAAAGTAATTATTGACAAGGATTTGATTACTGATAGGATTAGTGATATTGCTATTTTGTTGTTTTCTGTGTGTCTTATAGTTCTTTTGTCCTCTCCTTTCTTATTATTTTCTTCAGGGTTTTGTGGTTTTTTTCTTGTACTTAAATGCTTTGAATGTTTTCTCTCTTTTATGTGTTTTTATACAAGTATTCTATTTGTGATCATTGTAGGGCTCATGTAATATATAATTAGGATAGACTAAAGCTGGTAACTTCAATTGCATATGAAAACTCTACACTTGTACCTTTCCCCACTCCAGAGTTTGTGATTAATGTTACAACATACATTATTTTCATGTTTATCTATTCCTGAATTTTATATTTGTAATTGCCTTTATACTTTTGTCTTTTAACTTTTGTAGTAGAATTAAAAGTGATATACCTAGCATTAGTGTAGTAATACGAGTTCTCTATATATTTTCATTTACCAGAAAGTTTTATGCTTTCTTATGATGTGAGTGACTGGTTAGCATTCTTTAATTTCAACTTGAAGAACTTGATTTAATATTTCTTATAACATGGGTTTGGTGATGAAAAAAAAATCACTCTGATTTTGCCTGTGAAAATCTTTACCTTTCTTTCATTGTTTTTTTTTTTTTTTTCTTCCAGTACCAGGAATCAAACTCATGACCTTGTGCTTGCCAGGCAGGCACTTTGCCACTGAGCTAAATCCCCAACCCCCCTTTCATTGTTGATGGCCAGTTTTGCTGGTTATAGTACTCTTTCTTGATGGATTACTTTTTTCAATGATTTGAATATATCATCCTACTCCTTTATGGCCTGAGAAATTTCTATTAAGATTTGATGGTAGTCTAGCAAAGGTTCTTTGTACATGAAAAGTCCTGCTGCTCTCAGAACTTTTTCTTCATTTTGGTTGTTTTTGGACAACTCGATTACAACTTGTTTTGGTGTACATTCCTGAGGTTCATCTTATTTGGAATCTTTTTAGTCTCCCAGGACTGGACATACGTTTATTTCCCTAGATTTGGAAAGTTTTTGGTCATTGTTTCTTTGAATGCATTCTCTGGCTCCTTTTCCATCTTCTTTCCTCTTACTTTTATAGAGTGTATACTGCACTGCTTGATGGTGTCCCATGAATCCTTCAGTCCTATTCTCTCTTCTTCACTGTGGCTTCTTTGATCCTCCAATTGTGTAATTTCCAGGGACCTGTCT